GGGATTGGAACTGCCTTGAAGGTGTTTGATGGTTTAGTCTATGGATATTATGGGCAGGTTCAAACTCTTGGGTCCACACCTGGTGAGGAGATAGTTAGCCTCCTCTAGGAGGGCCACTCCTTCACTTGATCCGGTTGCCTTCCCTAAACAGCTGACGACTCGGCTATAGACAGTGAGTGTGATGATTCTGTCGAAGGGGAGGACGCCTCCCTCGACGCATGCAGTCAGGCCCGGGGTGGAAAGGAGCAAGCCGGAAGTGGTAAGAATGACCCTTTGATAAACTGGAGTTAGTTTTTCAACGAGGGTCTCGGAGTTGTCGATTGCTGTCCAGGTGGTGTCTGGCGATAGAGCGGATGAGGTTGAGTCTTGTCCGGCAGACTCAACTTTGACATCGTCAAAGTGGGCTCTCGTATTCCCAGGATTTTGATAGATTTGCGCTGCTGGATGATCTGGGAGTCGATGGTGATTGGTGTCGTCAGGGACCGGTTGCTATGGGTGCAGATGTGTACGAAGGCACTCTTCTCCACCGACAGTTGGAATCCGGCATCGTTTGACCAACGGTGTACGAATTTGATGGCCTGTGGTAATTTTTTGCGGAGGATCTTTATCGTACTTTGACGGCCAGGACTACTATGTCGTCTACCTATTTAGACGAAGCTGAAAATGTGATAATTTATTAGCTAGAGAATGGTCTTAGAAGAGAGTAGCTAGATAGTTCCGTTGGAGTAAGTCAGTTTTAAAATTGAATAGAATTCGAAAATGAGCATTGAATGTAACAATTGCATAATAACACACCTGTAGTAGATAGAGTTAGTGTTAAATAAATGATGAGTAGAATCAAGTGAGCGTGAAACGTGATAGTCCGTATGTAAACGGAATCTCATTAGTTAGAGAATTTTGTTAGGTTAGCAGGTATAAATATGAAGTTCCTAATCTCGTTGAAGTCATGCCGGCTGCTATCAAACTTCCAGCTGAAAACAATTGAAGCCTTCGGAGTGGAGGTGAGCACATCACTTGGCCCAATCACCATCATCGCGGCCTACTGCCCCAAGCAAACACACATCAGGGATGGGTCATTCGTGGCCCTCCGGAAAGACCTCATCAAACTCACCCGGAGGTACGGGAACTTCATCATCCCTGGCGATCTGAACGCAAAACACCAAGCTTGGGACAACGGTCAGAGCAATAGAAACGGCATCATCCTCAATGAAGACCTGCAAGAGGGCCACTATACCATCTTGGCCCCGGACTCTCCCACCCGGTTGGGTCGGTCTGGGGCCCATGCGACCATCGACATCTTCGTAAGCAACATGGGACACAACACCTCGCAACCTGTGGCATTCCAGGAGCTGAGCTCGGACCACTACCCGGTGGTGGCCGAAGTTGGATCCTCGGTAAACCAATTCGAAGCTTCCCGGTGCAACTACCATCGAGTCAACTGGGCGCAATATCAACACTGGGTCGACACAACCATCGACTACGATTTCCAACCGGGGACGTCCGAAGATGTTGACCAGTGTCTACAAACCATCGAGGAGGTGATTTCCCGGGCCAGGGAACAACACGTGCCAGTATCCAGACAGGTAAGTAACACTCTGAACCTTGACAGCCCTACCAAAGATCTCATCAGACTCCGTAACACCATTCGTAGGCAGTACCAGCGTACTGGCCTACCTAACTTGAAGACCAATTGTAATCGCCTAACAAAGATCATTCAGGCCAGGATGGTGGATCTCAGAAATAACTATTTTGCTAGTAAGATCCGCTCTCTCCCAGATTGTGCTAAGCCCTTCTGGAAACTTACAAATATTCTTAAAAACAAGCCTACGCTCATTCCACCACTGACCCCACTGGATCGTCACGGCGACCCAGTGGTTCATCTGATAACTCCTGAAGAGAAGGCTGCCGCGATAGGTCAACACTTCATCAGCTCCCATAGTCTCGGACAAAACATCGTCAGCCCTCATGAATCTCAGGTTGCTGAAAATGCAACCAATCTCCTTCAGATTCCTAACATTTTTTCAGAGGAATCCGAGATTACGGCTGACGAACTGTTGGCCTATATCAAATCATCTAAAAACATGAAGGCCCCAGGTTTCGACAACATCCTGAATCTGGAACTCAAACACTTGAGTTCCAGATTCTACAACCATCTGTCACTGATTTTTAATCAGTGCCTCAGACTTGGCTACTTCCCCTCGTGTTGGAAGTCAACTAAAGTCATACCCATCCGGAAACCTGGGAAGGATCCGTGCTCTCCTTCAAGTTATCGACCAATCAGCCTTCTCTCAAAACTGTTCGAAAGAGCAGTATACCACCGGCTCTTAACATCTGCCAAAGAAAACAACTTGTTACTCGAGGAACAGTTTGGTTTTCGGAAAGGTCGTTCGACCGTCCACCAGCTGACTCGAGTAACAAACATTCTCAGACGGAACAAGTCTGTTTCGAAAACATCTGCCATGGCGTTGTTGGACGTTGAAAAAGCGTTCGACAATGTCTGGCATGATGGCCTGGTGTTCAAATTGCAGCAGTACGGTCTTCCAATCTTCCTAGTGAAGATAATAAACAACTACTACCTATCGTACAGGACGTTCCGAGTTTCTCTGAATGGCATCACATCGGATGCTGGGGCTCCGCTAGGAAGCATCCTTGGCCCCATTCTATTCAACCTGTTCACCTCCGATATGCCGGCTCTCCCTGATGGTGGATCGTTATCTCTGTTCGCAGATGACACATCCATCGTCTACAAGGGTAGGGTCATCGGAGCTCTGACTGCCAAACTTCAGAGAGGCCTGGACGTCCTGTCTGAATACTTCAACAGCTGAAAGATCCGTATCAACGTGGCAAAACCCAGGTCATTATCTTTCCACACTCAAAATCTCCCAGATTTGTTCCGTCGGAGAATAACAAGATCTGCCTGAACGGCACAGTGGTGGAATGGTCCAAAGAGGTCGTGTACCTCGGGCTAACACTAGACAGCAATTTTCTTTTCAGGGAGCACGTTGACAAAACCAAAAGCAAGTGCAATATCTTGATAAGATCGTTGTATCCACTTATCAACAAGAAGTCAACCCTGTCTCTGAAAAATAAGCTTCCTGTCTACAAACAAATCATCCTTCCCGTAATCGAGTACGGTATGCCAATCTGGGAGAGTTGCGCAAAATGCCATCACCTTAAGCTCCAAAGGATCCAGAACAAGATCCTTAGGGTTAGGATGCTTTTAAACAGTCCCTCGCGGACTAGAAATTCTGAGATCCACCTCCTGGCTGGAATTCAAACATTAGAAGAACGGAGAGTTTTCATCCTGGAAAGGTTCAGAGACACCTGTCTGAGATCAAGTCACCAGGTCATACGTGATCTAGCACGATAGGTTAATTTATGCTTGTAGTTAGGTAGGTTATCACTTTTTTTTTCCAATTCAAACAAAACAACTGTAAACTAGTTGCAAAACAAAAATATTAAATTAGGATAACAAATTAAGCAAAGATGAAGAGCCAAGTAGGCTAATCAATTAAATTTTAAAATCAATGTTCAATCATAAACAAACAGAAATAAACATAATTTAAATAGTAGTAGCTCGTTGAAGTCATTCATGTAACGAATTTTGGAGGTGACGGACCACCAGCAGCAGCAAAAACAGCAGCAACAGCAACAGCAGCAGTAGAAACAGCAGCAGCAGCAGCAGCAATGCCTGTAGAGTTGAAAACATACTACAAATCTCCACGTACATCGTACGGGTTAGGCAAAGAAGTGTGCGTTTGACTTCGAACTGTCGCATTAATGGCCCTTCGCTCATTTTCAACTTCTATTCAATTTTCATACTGCCGTACTCTAACGAAACTATCTACCTACCCTCTTCTAACACCATTCTGTAGCTAATAAATCTTCACTCAAAAGCTTCATGTTAGATAGCATTTCCAACCAACTCAGAAAATATGAGTTTTTTGTTACAAACATTCAAAAAGAATTGATTAAAGTTTGGAGGTTAAGCGGGGCTTTAAGAATTGCACGTACTTTTTTTGTCTACCCTACTGATATTTTTTTAATAAGCAAAAATTCCCTCCCAGTGTGCATCCAGGTAAAAGTTCCACAATTTAATAACAACGGAACGTGAGAAATGCAGCAACCCGCAGAAATAAGAGCACAATCCCGAGAAGCAAAACGCGCGGCATCCACAACGACAAAAGGCGCGTAACGAGAGCACATTCACAAAATTTCCACCAACCACCAGCCGTCGCCAAAGAATGGCAAACATCCAAGCCAAATAACGAAACCTGAACCAAACAAAAAGAACGTACAAGCAAAAAGTGAAAAACACTTCTTGCTTGCTCGCGCTTTAATATCAGATAATTTTATGCAGATAAGTGTCTTTTAATTCTTCTCGCCGTCATCGTCGTCGTCGTCGTCGTCATCCATCCTAAGGGCCCCCCTTAGTCGGGTGGCAGTAAGCGAAGTAAATTCATTAGTGGGTACTGCAGACTCTCTGGTTGGCTTCAAAGCGAAACAAGGCAAGGCGAACAACTTCTTCGATCCTTGTCCGTAGAAAGATGCATCTCCCAGCATCAGCGCGAGCGGAAACCTGAGAGAGCAAACGGACAGTCGCGCTTTTACGCTTTTTCATCCTGTTTTATAGTAATTTAATTTCGGGGTCTCCTGTCAGAAACCGACTTTGATCTCAATTAGTTGGGAAACCCCTGCCCTGCCCGGCTCGGAACGGCTCCACTGGCTGGTTGGCTAAGGTGTCATTTTAACTCGTTTAGTTTTTAATGACTGCAAATATTGCATTTAAGCACCCTCCAAAGCAGCGTTGACTCGGGCGCTAAGATGGTCCCCAAATAGCGAAAACGGCGAAGAAGCTTAATGGGATTTCATTACGGCGGAGTGTAATTAAGGCATCCAATTTTTAGTGGTAATTAGCGAGCACCGAGTGTTTGCCGATTTACGGCGAAAATCTGGGATGGAACTGTCGTAAAAGTCTCCAGATGAACTCCGAGACTTACCTTTCGAAACATGGCAGAGCGCTAGTCCGACGACGAGCACCGTTCTCCAGCAGACGGTATCCATTATTCTCCGACGAATTCAATCCTTATCTGCACTTCCGACTCGCCGTTCGCCGTAGCTCATTTATCACTCACACAAATTCGAAGATTACTGCTCGATCTCGATTTCGCACCTTCTTATTATTTTTCTCCCCGTGTAATTTACCCCGGTTGTCGGGCTGTTTCACTTCCACTTCTCACTCACTTTACCTTCTGGCTCCGCGCTCGAGCCCGCTGCTTCATTCATCTAATTATCACCATTATGTTGGCAGTCGGCCAGAATAAATAAAGACCACGCTCCACATCGTGCACCGTTGTTCAATTCTCGTATTCTTATCCTATTCTAAAGGTAACTTCATTGCACGGGAAAGTGATGTATGCAACATCAAACACTTATTCACTTCTTTATTTTTCTTCTTCCGCTTTTCTCCAGACGGCAGCAGCGTGAATCACCTTTTTCCCCTTTATTTGGGTTTGAATTCGAATGAAAAAAAAAAGTGTTATTTAATAGTCGGGTATTGTCGGCGTTTTGAATTTGAATAAATTTGTTTACTCGAACCTTGTTTCGTTCGTTCTCCACAACTGTCTGTTGTGTGTGGTGGTAGTGTTTTGTTTTGTTTTGCGTTTCACTTTTATCGTTTGCATGTTACATTTTGTAATTCGAATGTTTGATGAGCTCTCTAACAATTTTCGGATGGCTGAAAACGGGGTTCAAGGTGTTTCAAGTGTGGTAGTGGAGGCGATAGCTGAAAAAGAGAGTAAGAAAAAAGAATATCGTTAGCTTGATTTGTTTAAGCTTTACAGATAATGATGTGAATCAGTAGAAACAACAACTCAACGGCATACAATTCTAACAATTGAAATAGATACTTAATAACTTGGAATTATGGACATAAGACTTCAAAAAATTGTGGAACGAAATAGTGTTAGATTTCAAACCCTTATAGCTTGGCCATTTAATGATGGATTTAAAATCTTTTCACTCCATTTGATTCAGAATTGACGTAAAACTTGAATGGTATAAAGAATATAGTAATTTATCATCAGCAAACAATTGAAAATTGATCATACTTTTAGGCTGCAATTAATCAAATATGTGCTCGCTTGCTATGAATATCGAGAGAACAGAGAGAGACGACGGGTTATAAAAGAGCTTACACGTACGATTTTAAACTTTTACGATTACGATTTGCAACTTTCATGGCATACATTAGCGAAACAAAGCCAGACAAACACTGATCAGAATGATACCATAATGTGTACAAATTCAAATATGCTTGTGTAAATGAGGATAGATCAGTTCAAACTCAGAGAAAATGTAAACGTTAAATTTATTGAATTCCAGTGTTCGCTATTTGATAATTTTTTGTTTGATCCCAGATAAAGGACAAACTCAAATGATATTCAGTTTATCTGTCATTATTGGCAACATTAAAATGTTATAATATGGTGTGAGGTACTTTTATGAATTTTAAACCGGTTTGTTTTATGAAATGCATTTTAAATAGCAAATTTTCACTCCGGTTATTTTAAATTAACTTTATTCAGTAGCTACCTAAACATTGGTTTTCATTATTGGACCTTAATTTTGAATGGAATAGGAACTGAATTTTGATATATAAAAATTGAATTCAATTAAGGCTATTGAATGTCTTCTAATTTCAGAACCTTGAATTGAATGTTTTTTAAGAATAAAATCTATAAATCAACAATTTTTAAATTTTTAACTAAATTATTAAGCACAAAAACAATTTCGTAGTCCCACGAAAATAATGTGTACGCTTGGGACAGAACTCTTAATGTTTCACTTCAAGGCCTAGTGTTTGAAGGTTACGCTAAATTCCGAACTTTAGAATAGTAGGGGCAATGGCTCTGATGTTGGCCTACGGATCTAAGATTGGGCCCATCGCTGAAAATCTGCTATTTATTAATTTAATCTAGATGAACGCGTTTTTGGGACGGTACTTATGGATATTTTTGGTCGCTATTTAAAATTTAGTCGATTGCTTAATTTATGTATGGGCCAAAATTAGGGGCATTTAGACCGACATTACATCCATTTCCCCAATGTCATGGTAAATTTAGAGCTGTTTACTCACTGATTACTCTATAGGAATTTATGTATATCTGCATATACATACAATAAAGTTCCCTCGAGCTGGCACTGAGATATGAGTGAAACTTATCTGCCTTCAGCTCGCCATAAAACTATCTGGGACGCAGATTTCGAAGCAGTACTAAAGTTCACGTAACTGCAAAAGAAAACAGCTGTGCCGGTGGTGTAGTGGTAAGCGTGATTACCTCTCACCCCAGCAGGCCTGGGTTCAATCCCAGTCGGCACCACCGGGATGTTCTGAGGCATAACATCTCTGATCACGCCTTCCTTCGGAAGGGAAGTAAAGCCGTTGGTCCCCGGTTCATGAGTTGATGAGTCGATAGGTAGGGTCCAGGTGTGGGAGCTGCCTCCCTGGCGTCGGTAGCATTGGTGCCAAGCACGGAAAACAAGATCGACGGAAAACAAATCAAGGTAAAAAAAACCTGCCCAAAAATTATGTAAACATTTGTGAAATTCTCAAGACCTCCTCATAGTGCTAAGGATTTCCTTACGTTCTCTGGAATTCCTTGAAGTTCACCGGAAGTTCTTTTAACATCTTAAAAGCTACACAATTTTTCTGAAGCTAATGAAACTGCCTTGAAATTATTCTGAATTTAAAAAAAAAAAAACTGTGATGCTCATGGTACTTCAATGAAATTTATTTGAGCTTCACTGGACTTCCCATCATCTTTGAAGTACCCACAATTTTTCTGGAGTTCTAGGAAGGTCCTGAAGTCTTTACACTTTCCACGGAGTTCTCAAAACTTCTCCGTAAATTTTTAGTAAAAATCAGTAATGTGTTGTTTTTTAGTTTTTGATTTATATTTTTTTAAGTGTTGCGTATTAAAGGTATTTTTAATTACCTCTGATCTGATATTTCGATCTTTGAAATTGACCCAGTGGTTCAAGAGTTATAAGAAAGTTATTTTTGAAAATAAAAATAAAAAAAAAACGATTTTTTGCACCACTCTAATATGGAAATGGTAACCCTAATAACAAAATAGAAAAAAAACGGGCATAATAATACGGAACTAAACAAAAAAAATACGAAAATCTGATAACCACTATATCGTTTTGCTATGGAATAGTTGAATATCCCTGAAATTAATGGAATTGTTGATGTTTCGTGACGTTTTAGAAACTTCTGCAAAGTGTTTGAACTTCTAAATTATCTAAGTTCTCTGCACTTCTATAAATTGATGCCATTGGTACCAACATACTCTAAATATTTATTCGATATCAATAGCTTTAAAATCTATACATAAATTGCAGAACAATGATTTTTCAAACATTTAAAATTAACCGTTACTCATTTTATTAGAGGCATCGAGCTAGGAGTCTCATGGAAATTCTCCATGGATTTGGATTGGATTTGGATTGGATTTGGATTGGATTTGCATTGGATTTGGATTGGATTTGGATTGGATTTGGATTGGATTTGGATTGGATTTGGATTGGATTTGGATTGGATTTGGATTGGATTTGGATTGGATTTGGATTGGATTTGGATTGGATTTGGATTGGATTTGGATTGGATTTGGATTGGATTTGGATTGGATTTGGATTGGATTTGGATTGGATTTGGATTGGATTTGGATTGGATTTGGATTGGATTTGGATTGGATTTGGATTGGATTTGGATTGGATTTGGATTGGATTTGGATTGGATTTGGATTGGATTTGGATTGGATTTGGATTGGATTTGGATTGGATTTGGATTGGATTTGGATTGGATTTGGATTGGATTTGGATTGGATTTGGATTGGATTTGGATTGGATTTGGATTGGATTTGGATTGGATTTGGATTGGATTTGAATTGGATTTGGATTGGATTTGGATTGGATTTGGATTGGATTTGGATTGGATTTGGATTGGATTTGGATTGGATTTGGATTGGATTTGGATTGGATTTGGATTGGATTTGGATTGGATTTGGATTGGATTTAGATTGGATTTGGATTGGATTTGGATTGGATTTGGATTGGATTTGGATTGGATTTGGATTGGATTTGGATTGGATTTGGATTGGATTTGGATTGGATTTGGATTGGATTTGGATTGGATTTGGATTGGATTTGGATTGGATTTGGATTGGATTTGGATTGGATTTAGATTGGATTTGGATTGGATTGGATTTTTATTTCGTTTGATTTGATTTGGATTGGATTTGGATTGGATTTGGATTGGATTTGGATTGGATTTGGATTGGATTTGGATTGGATTTGGATTGGATTTGGATTGGATTTGGATTGGATTTGGATTGGATTTGGATTGGATTTGGATTGGATTTGGATTTGGATTTGGATTGGATTTGGATTGGATTTGGATTGGATTTGGATTGGATTTGGATTGGATTTGGATTGAATTTGGATTGGATTTGGATTGGATTGGATTTTTATTTCTTTTTGATTTGATTTGGACGGAATGTGTGTTGGATATGGATTGAACATGGATTGGATCTGGACTAGATTTGAATTGGATTTTGACTGGTTTTGTATTGGATGTGTATTTGATCTGGATTAGACATGGAATGGAGTTTAATTGGATTTAGGTTAGGTTGAACTGAAATAATTTATTTATATTAATGCAATACTTAATTTTAATAATTTGTTCAAACTCCTAGAATTATGGAAACATGATCATTTGACTGGATTTGGATATGTATATCGACAACTTTTTTGAAGGGACATATCCAGCAGACAGGTACAAGGTACATGCTACACCAAATCGACGATCAAATGCATTGTTCACAAAAGCTGATACGTCCCATTGAAAAAGTATTCAAAATATGATCTATATGGATTGGTTTTGGATTGTATTGGAATTAATTTTGACTTGGACTAGAATTGAACTTGGCTTTTTAATTGAAATAGAATTCGATTTGGTTTGATAAGAATCGGATTAAAATTGTATTGGACTTTGTATTGGATTTCTATTGGATGTGTTTAACTTACGTGTTTTTGATAATAAACAGATGCATTAAAGTTCGTGTTAAGTGAAAGTGCATTGCCTTCGCTTTCAGTTCACGGTCAAAAATTAGTTCTAAAACTAGAAAAGCATTAACATGACACAATAAACTGGACATAATTGAAAAATTCGAAAGTGATGTTAAAAATAAAATACTCTTCGCAAAATTCAAAGTGCTGCTATTTTGTACAAAATTCCGATATCTGGCGTGATAACAAAAGAAAAAGCAAATCAAGAACAACATGTGAAAAGGGCAAAAAAGCTTTTTGCAAAAAAACCTTCTTATGCCCTTTTCTCGCAACCTATATGACATCAACGCAAACTATTAACATCACCGGATAGGGGAAGGTTTTCCCTTCCCGATGATGTTATTAGTATGCGTGAGTGACCCTCGGTTGGTGAGAAGAGGGCCAAAAAGCTTGATGCCCTTTTCACATGTGGCTCTTGAAATGATCTGGCAAAGAAAATGAAGCACGATTCTTTTAAAGCGAACAACGGATGGCTTCAAAAATTTGTTAAGAGGAATGGATTGTCGTTCAAAATTGCTAGTGGAGAAAGTGGAGCTGTAAATGTTGATGACGCTGGGCAATACATATCCGATACGTTGTCACTGTTGATTGCTGACTTCAGTCCACAAGATGTGTTTAATATGGATGAGACGGGTCTATTTTTCAAATGCTTAC